GTGCCTGGTGCCTGGAGCCGGCCCTGGACAATGTTATTTAAATCCACTTTCACAGATCAGTATTGCAGATACACGTTACTTGCACTGCAAATGTGTAAATGAGATTATACTGGATTTGTGTGGGACAGAGATGAAATAAATGTCTAAAATAAGAGGCACCCCCGGTAATAAGGGGTAGTTACAACCAGTGAAGTCATATCTTGTGATAAAAGTGAGAAGAAATAATTACCTAGTGGTTTGTTGATAATTTTTAAAAGAGTTCCTTCCTTAAGTGTATAGATAACTAAGCCGAAAAACCATTATATGGTACCAGACAGCTCTTGAATTATGCTAAAAAGCGCGGGTCCCGCACATACTGCCTGCATGCCAAGAGTTCTGTATGTGCTCTTGATAAGAGGATAAAAATGACAAAGACTTTTGGACTGTTGAGTTCTTAATTTGGATTCTTTAAAATGTCAACTGATGCCATATGGAAAACATGGGAAATCAGTCTATTTAGTGATGCTGTAGTTCTGGCTACAGGTCATATGTCTTGTGTATTTTTTATTGCTAGCTACTTTGATGTAAAATCAGAATCTTTGGAGAGGATTTTCAAAAGGGCTCTGCTTTGATCTAACTCTGCTGCAATTGGAGGCAATAATAAAATTTCCCATTTGCTCAACACTGAGCACTTCTGGAATCCCACCCTTTATTCCTTGAGGTTTCACTAGCCTCTTATCTTTTACCAGTTGTCAAAATTAGGGTTGTGTGCAATGCAGTGATTTCATTTCCCAGGAATTTGCTTATTTGCTACTTTGAGCCTTGTGTAGTTGGTTCCCCTTCCACCCCCAACCCCCCACCCCCCCCGGTACCCCTATTTTTGCTTGGAGTTCCTGGTTCAAATGAACAACAAAACACAAAGTAAAATGCATCTCAAACTATCTGGTTTCATGTCCAATCCCTGTTAAACTGTAAATGTCAGAGGTTTGACATGGAACAAGGTTTACCAGCCTTATAGCAAACCTGCTCTGAACTTGGCATTAGTAATGAATCCTGGATTAAGGGGCGCCACATGTGAATTTGTTTTATTGTGAATGCTTCACACAGTTCTAGTCATAATTAGAGAAGGCTGAAATATTCTGAATTTCAGTAAGAAAAAAGGATTTTTTGATAAACAATTTTCCCGGGTTTTTTACTGGCTTTTGCGCAAAAATTTGCATCATTACCTGCTGTGGAGAGGATTATGATGTCCCAAGCAGTAAGAGTTAAGGTGGGGAACAAACAATAAGAGCAGATGAATTTTATAGAAACAAATTACCCTGTTTTCATTTGTATGTTACTATTTGTAAAGGCAGAGAGGTGGGAAAGGAGTACAGAGAACATGACTTGCAGGCGCAATTTCTTTTTATTAGACTTTAAAAAATCGCATTTCTAAATGAGAAATCAGTGATTTTTTAAGATGACGCTACTCACTTGTAAAGGCAAAGACCATCGTTCTACCAGACAAATGGCAGGCTGTCCTGGCTAGTTTGCTTACGCTATTTAGCATGAGGCATATCAAGTTATTTCACATTGAATCAAATCTTCGGCTTTGTTTTTGAAATAATTAAAATGTGAATTCATGGAACTATCTGTTGCCCTTTCTCCTCTTCCCATAACATAGTATAACCTGGAAGTGATAATTTACAATTTTGCTAAGGAATGGGTTTAACGTTAATAAGGCAAGGATTATATATATGCTCTATTAATCTCTAGAAAGACAAGGTGGGCGAGGTAATATGTTTTATTAGATCAACTTTTGTTGGTGAAAAATACAAGCTTTCAAGCTTACACAGAGCTCTTCTTCAAGTCTCCGTGTAAGCTCAAAAGCTTGTCTTTTACACCAACAGAAATTGGTCCAATAAAAGATATTACCTCGCCCACCTTGTCTCTCTAATATCTTGGGACCAACACGGCTACAACAATGCTGAAAGCTGCTATTCTCTTATCACATGTGCAAACACACATATATACACTCTGGTTGCCAGTAGCATTTTCTGTTCTGTGGTACTGAGAATAGAAAATCCTGTGTGCAAATGATTGTGGCAGAATCAAAGATATCAGCACAGTAAATGTTGAATTGTTTTCCGTGGTGGTGCTGGGGTGTGTGTGTGCACGTCTATAGGGGTGCGTGCTCATGTGGCATGCACACACGAAAAATTATAGAATATATTACATGGACTGTAATTACAGAATGCGTGTGTTGGATTGATGGCTTTGTTGCCACTAAATTTTAAACAGGACTAATTTGTTGTTGATGCTTGTGATTAGGGTAATCACACTGTTGGAATATATGTGCACTGCTGATAAAGGACATCTAAGCCATGATGGTTGATTGTTCCATTTAATTTTATAAATGCTCTATATTTATACCCCAGAAAGAGCATAGACTGATAGCTCTAAGGTTTCTTCTCACTAGTTTTGCATATGCCAAGCTTGGAACAGGGCCACGCATTTCATTGGAGAGAGTTTTACAATGAAAACTGCACGAATTGGAAAGGCAGCTGTCCAGTGTTTGTTTGTTTAGTAGAATGAGTGTCACTGCTTCTTTCTCTTTTCCTTTGCTCCTGTTGGTTTCAACTTTGCTACTCTTCCTGCATAACAAGGAAATGCATCAGTAAACTCTATTTCCTAATAACTTGTCTAATAGCCTTGATTAAATGGGTTCACATAAGGTCTCCTGTTTTCTGCGCATCTGTAACCTACTGGTGACTCTGTTACACACTGACCATAGTTCCTCTTTCTGGAAAGCATGCTGTCTAGGCCTCCAAGGACAGAAAGAACTGCACCACCACCTAAGTAAGACTTGCCATTCCATCTATACCCTTTATATCTGCAGGCTCATTTTTCAGCTGTCACAATCTGTCCCATTACACTCAGCTGCCAATGACTATAGTAAATAATGCCTGATGGGATTTAATAGGCTTGTCTCCTGTAGTACTTCTGGATTCCCCTGTACTGCGAGTGAAGAAAGACTCAGCTACAATCGCAGGCCAAGGTTTTCAATAGTGACTAGTGATTTGAGGTGCATCTGTTTGGGGGTGCCCAGTTTGAGACTGCTTAATGAGGCCTAGTTTTCAGAAGGGAGGTGGTCAACTTTTTCTGAAAATCTGGCTCTTTTCAGCTGTCTCAAACTGGACACCCTGAATTGCTAGTCACTATTGAAAATCTTGGCCCCAAACTCCAGTCCCCAATGTGGAAGTGTCCTGAGTGGCTGTTAGAGAGAAGAACTTTCTATAAACAACCAGATTAATTAAAAAGGGTATTGAAACTGATTGAAGTCTGTGTGTACGGGAAGGGGAGGAGAGGCAGAGGGGAAGGGTAGAGAGACAGAAACACTATTGTTAACTCCTACATTTTATATAAAACGTAATGAAAAGAGACAGAGGCAGGAATAGAACACTGTAAACCCAACCTTAGCGACAAAGAAAGGACCTGCTATTTTTTCTAGATTTGGGGCTAGGTGAATTACAAGAGAGTCACTGAAAGTAATTATCCAGTTTTAAATTCTGGCTACCAACTAAATTAGTCAAAGCATACTGTCCCTCTGATGCTAGAAATGGTCAGTAGCAAAAGCAACTACTTATAGTTCCTGGTTTTCCATGCAGAAGGGAACTGTACCTGCTGAGACAGTGGGGA